CCCGCTTCTACTATCTCGCCCTCTGCATCTCTGAATTATTCAAGGTCTCTGCTGCTGGAAAACCAAAACTTAACAATAATCATTACTAGACGAAAGCCTAGCTTCTATGCCATGTTTTTAAAATGCTTTAAAACATTCTTAAATCAAGATCATGAGGTTCTCACCTTGAACAGAGGCGAGTAACATGATAACCTGGACCTTTGAGTATTCCTGGGCCACTGCCATCAATGTCTTCGCCCCGGCCAGGTCGACATCACAGATGGCGCTACAGTCGATCACAATGTGATAACCAGAGAATAGATGTGTTGCTTCTGGGCGCCCACTTTCGGAATCCGACAATGGTGAAATCTTCTCCATCTGTCAATAGTTACAAACGTAATCTCACAGAGGTACAGAGTAGCCATTGGTTCATACGTTATGTAAGTTGGAATGGTAAAGGTTGTACTGCCTTCTAGTTCTACTATCCATCTACAACATCTTGAGAATACAGAGCTGTTAGTTGCAATTTACTTAGGTGTGATCGGTCAAAATATAAATAAAAAATACTGTAAATTGAAATACAAACTAGTTAGCTCCCTTTGCAGGATATTTCTAAATTGTTTCCTATACTGGTACATTACACAGAAATTAATTTAAAACATTATTTATCATACTACCAATATATTCATATACAATCATTGTATGAATTGTATATTGTGGAACAAGATTTACATGACTTATACGCGCCAGAAATCTTTGAAGAAATTCTATTCCGCGAGATATAACAGGAGGGAAGGCATTAATTATTATTTGCAGGAGAGAGAAGTCATTATTATAAGGCGGATGAAGGTGTTATGATCCACCAACGCTACCTGCGTCTCCTGCACCCGTTTTAATGGTAGATCGTCGGCTAAGGGTGCTGCCATTCATCAGTGTTCTTCATACTGCTTCTTGATGACTTATGCGGAACGCCCTGTAACAAGATTATTGCAGCCTGTGGAGTGTCTTGAGGCGGGTGTTCGTGTAGAGGAGTGGACCGATGAACTGAAACACTCGCGCCTTACACGGCTCTGTGAGCTGTAAACAGTAAACATATGTCATCACCACCAGGGGACAATTAATTAAGGCACTGAAACACACAAGCTGCCGTAAACGGTTCCATACACTGTAGCAATAAATACACATCACAACCTGGGGGCAGCTAGGGCTGTCAAGTTGTCACTATAGCAACTAGGGCAGAGCTATCTAGCTATACTATTATTATTATTATTATTATTACTATTTATCATAAGTCACTCTTAAGTTATCGGAGCTATCGAGAATATTAGATAGCACACAGAGAAAGACATTTAGATATCTTAGATGGTAAATTAAGATACATATATCTAGACAAACCTCTGTATAAACTGCACAACCCTGACGATTTGAAAACACTGATGTATACATTTGCATACAACATATCATAACGTAATAAATCTAACGTGCATAAACATTATTAACAAACGAAGACAGCTTACATTTTTGTATACAAGTTCATCTCTGCCTACACTCACTGGGACAGTCTCGCAACTCAGACAAAGAATGATAGCAGAACACTGTACACCGAAGGCTCCTTGACGAAAAGCAAATACGACATGTAATCAACTTTAAAACAAGGGAAAACAGAAACAGAAAATATACAACAACAATATGATGATGACATACGTTAACACATTGCAATCGAAAAATTTGTGAATAGAATATGTGAAATACAATGGCAATTTATTCATTTAGGTGTCAGTGCATGGTTATGCAACAGAGATATTCGATGGCATTTTCACTTACATCTGGGTTCTTATGACAACAGTAAGCAGGCTGAAGCAGATGCCAATTCCTAATCCAAAGATCCACATCTGTGAAACACCACGCCTGCCCACGTGACCATCCACACAAGCTACACATCAAGGGTAATACCATTAGCTATATAATAATGACACATAATGAAATCATACACAAACAATGACACGATAAGTATCATTTAATTAACAATATAAGTATTATTTACAATCAAATAATATACATATTGTAAATGATATTTATTTGTATTTGTATAAGATCAATATCTCACTGGGCTGTAAATGTAAACAGCATAAAAACAGTTACTGTTTATATCAGGACTCTAACAATATATAATTACAATGAACATATGAAACTTGGTTATACACATGTTCATGACATTACTAAAATTGAGTAGATGAGAGTTGATCGTTTGCCACTTTAATCGTAGATTATCACGTAAGCCTGGTTATAAGACAAAATTTCATACATCACTCTTGCAATGGAATAATACATATCGTAATTGCCTTTGCGTGTGAGGTGTATAGTTTGGCTACTGACCCAGTCTAGCTTTGAGATATGCCACAGTGTGTACATGTCACTGTACTGCAGGTACATTCCCTTCAGACACACTAGGATGATTCCAGCCAAACACGCTCTGTAAAAACAGAAATACATACATGGAGTTGCAGTGGGAGTTCTAAAATAAAAAGTACAAGAATGGAAAGGAAAAAGTAGATGAAGATGTAAAAAACAGACTAAGAAGGTAGGTATATACATATATAGTATAAAGAGTATCTATCTGTCTGTCTGTTGGTCGGTCGGTCAGTCGGTCGGTCCATCCGTCCCGCCCGCCCGTCCGCCCACGCACGCGCGCACGCACACACGCACACACACACACGCACGCACGCACACACACACACACACACACACACACACACACACACACACACACACATATTTCTTTATATACGTGAGCATGCATGTGTCCTTGAGAAGTCGTCCCTGGAATCTGTGCATTAACCATGATATCATTAATATATTGCAATCAGTGGGCATCTTACTTAAGCAATCACATACAATTTCTGCATGAGTACCAACTATCTAGAGAAAGATGCTATCACTGCTGCATACCTGCTGTAGAAATTCCTCATGAGAGGTGATTGATGATGATTAATGGGCATTTAGAAACACACCGATTATGTCCTTGACAAATACGTATAAGTGTCACAGACGTTCATTTAGTTACACGCTTCCTAACAAGCTGTGTCCCATCAGTACGTAGTCTGCAGCCAAAAACGTCCTTCACATTTATGATCGCGGCATCACACACAAGAGTTAAAAAATGTGGCGATGAAATATAGGCGTACTTGACAGGCGGCATGTTACAGTGTTATGCCCTGGGGCAGCGCACCAGGTAGGAATTTAATAGTAAAAGTTAGAGACACGTAACCTATAGCTTACATGTGGGTCACGTGGAGAAAGCAAGGAGGGAAGGTAGCACATACAAATCATTTATAAAAAGCAGGTACGAGGTTATTATTTCTGAGCATGCCGAACCCCAAGGCATACATTGAATTATTTAGTGACGTGATGACGTTACTGTGTCCTATTTCTTACTGCATGCTGGTCAGGTTTCCAATTAACATATATATTGGATGCTCGTTTATAGTGACTCAAGTTTATAAAGGATAGAGTTAAGGGTAGGGTTAGGGTACACTGTGTGTGCAGCCATCCCTGCACCTTTCATGTACTATGGCACTTAACAACCCACACCTTGATACAACCGTGTGCAGCATTCATTCGCCCAAATCTGTCATATAACATATAGCAGTGACCTTCGCATTACTGACTGAAAGTAAAAGATGAAAACGGCTGTAACTCTCGAATTAATATACAGCAGGAAAAAAATGGACAGAAGCTACACTGCTCTCACCCCGCTTTCTCTCTCGCTCTCTCTCTCTCTCTCTCTCTCTCTCTCTCTTTCTTTCTCAGTTTCTCTCCAACAAATAGTGAAAATATTACCACTAGTGATGGGAGGACGGTTGCTACTTACATTTGGTAAATCATAGAGCAGCGGTCCCAGCCACAGCGAGACGATGATGACGATGACACACGATACTAGACCCGCTATCTGCAAGCACACACAAACAAGATCACGTCCCTGTAGACATCCTGCCTTGCTCCCTCATATCACTCCTCGCTCACATCCTTGTAGACTCCCTGGCTCGCTCCCATGTCCCTAGCACATATTCCCTCATACACACACGAGTGATCGTGGGATGGCCACCCACATCATGCACACTCTCTACGTACTGCAGTGCTCGAAATAAGCGTTGTCCGGTTGTCCGATACAACCAGAATTTGCGCCGGACAACCTAACCAGTCTGAGACATTGTCCGGTGGACAACCAAAAAAAAGTTGACGAAAAAATGCACTTTATTTATATTTTTCTGACTGCGAATTGAATTTCTTTCGGCTGTTGATCGGCCTGCATTGCGTCCATAGCTAGTCCTAACCCAACCCTAACCCTCATAGCCTAACCCTAACACTAACTCTAAACCGACTCGGCTATCTTATATACGCGTGTTATAGTACCCAGTTAATATATGGTGTATAACATTTTGCTTTCAATATTTTGCATCTGAACTGACAATCAATCCCAACCAACTGGTGTAGGCTAGCTGGCACAATAATGTTCATTTTCATACTTCAAATCCGAGTGTTTTCTAGCTCATCAAGAAATCTTAATCGTGAATTAAATCGTGAATAATATAAAAATATGGGACCAGCTGCTATTTCCAACACTGGTATATGTCAGGTTTTCTGATTTATGAAAGGTGAACTTGATTTGGAACCAGCAAACCAGCAAGTTTCCAAAAAAATTTTGGGGGAGAACCCCCATACCCCCCGCCTGTTTTTTACCCCCCTCCTTGGAATCCTAGACCCGCCACTGAACAATTACATATCTTGGGAGCAGAGAACAATGAACAAAAATGTCGCCTTTTCGCATGGCGTCCAAAACAAAGATTGGCGAGCTGAGAGGTAGAGGAGCCGTAGGGTGTGGAGAGGGAGGCGGAGGAGCCAGTAAAATATTAAGTCATCCACTATTTTGCGCAGTTCGCTGTTTTTGGCCCCCCTTGTTAAAAAATCCTGGCTACGCCAGTTTTTGGGTGGTTTCTGATCATATTATTATGTGATTGCATGAAAATAGGAGATTTGGGGATATTTTTTGGGACAACCAGAAATTGTTGCGGACAACCCGATTTGATGCCTGGGTTGTCCGCAGGGCAACCACATTTTTTTTCTTATTTCGAGCACTGTACTGTATCATAGTCTACAAGGTTTTTGCACGTGTATACACTGTTACTAATCTGTTTGCAATGGCGATAAAGCCATGAGATATATATTCGTAGACAAGTTACGTACAGATAGCAATGTGTAATCATGTCACTTTGCGATAATAAATAAATATCCATGGCAGAACGCAGCCACACTAATGCTACATGTGTGTACAGTACCTTTCCTAATAGCGACATCACTATTAATGGCTTTCTATTTAATTCGAATTTCAGTGTTATACTATACTTACTTATAATATAGCAACAAAACACAAGCTTGTTTATGACGCAACAATGATATTCGATGTCATAATAATAAAACACGAGACCACCCGTGGTAAGACAATGATATTCGGTCTCGTAGCAATGAAACACAAGACTATCTGTGATGCTGCGATGGTGGTGAGTGAGGTAGTGTGCTAGACACCTGCACTATGGGATGCCACTCACATGCACTAGGGCGTACCACCGACCTGTGCTAGGGGGCTCCACACTCACCTGCGTGACTCCGCCGACACTCTCCTGGATGAGGCTGCGAGCGAGAGCGTTCGTGCCAGGGAAGCAGGAGAAGAACGAGCTGAAGACGTGGGCTGCACCGAGCGCGATCATCTCCTACGTAGGTCGCCACGGAAACAAACGCAAGCATCGGTCGTGACAACACACAAACCACGGTCACACGATAGTTCTTTGCAGCAACAGAATACAGCACGACAAACGTTCAATGTGGTATTAACACATTGAAGACACGGCGACGAATCAACCTCGCCTGCGTAGCGCATATGACATGCACTGATTCTGAATCACTAACATCAGCAGCGATTGTTGTTATATTTTGTTTTGCATCGATTACCTGATCCGCATCGATCTCCTGGTCACGCTTCCTTGCTAGGATCTCGGCCATTCCGACGTTGAACACCCACGATATGATAGCGACAGCTATGACATCACCGATCATGTCAGGGAAGAGGGAAACGTCTGGCACCGACGGTTGAGGGAGTCTGTTGACAATACAGACATGACACGGCGTGTTACTCGATGCACAGTGCATGTTACCAGTCATTCAACAGTAGTCAAAATAAGTCACAAACTTATAGGAAATTTAATAAGCGTAGTATCAAAAGTACATTAACAGCAAGGTAATGTTAATTTATTCTTAATAGGCCTATACTCCTGACATTAGCGACCTCTAAAAGTCCTAATTTTAAAATGGATATATGTTTGAGATAGAATCGCATGTGAGAATCCTACCCTGGTCGTATCTCTCCGACTACCGTCAAGTTCCAATCTTTCTCGAGCTTCGCACCATACGATATCCCCGTCATAACGACAACCTGAAGCAAGAGTGTGGCTGTGGTAACAAATGACCAACTCTGACAGTTCCTGTCATTATGACAACGACTGAAAACAGAGCATATATACGATAACACACAACGCACATTGACTACCCCTGTTCCATCATCATAGCTATATATATATATTATGTGAGCAAGGTCATCGTCAGACCTATAAGTGGTTCTATAAGCCAAGGCAGAAATCGACTGCCAACATGCCACCAAGGGCATCAACTGTTTTGTGATACATCTCCTCTCATTGAATTTGCGACCTGCTGCCTATACTCCATGACACCGCATGACTTACAACGACAAGTTCCGCTGGGATAGGCATGAACATCTTTGATTTGTATTTGTCGTTGACACACTCTCGCATGACGACAAGAAAGACGATGGTGGCGACACCTAGAACAAGTGCGACCCAGTTCGTTGTCATCAGCTTCGAAAAGAAATCGATCCACGTCTGCAATAAAGATGGACCGTAGCGATGGTACATCGTCAAGAATAGACCAAGTTTGGAATCTGATATCGTCGAAAATTTTCGTTCAACAGTCAATGAGCAAATGTCGATGCCCGACTTGCTGTTAACTTCGTAAAAGACTGAAGTTGCAGATAATTTGCCTATCTGCCTGGCATGATTGACAGGCAGTTCTAGCCAATCATTGTTGCAATAAGATATTCTAAAAACAATACTTGGCAATGAATTAAGTACCGAAAGTGGACAATTGGCATGCACAGGTAAAAACCACCCACAAACTAGTCTAGCTTTGACTGACGAATCAACAACAGCCAAGGTGGGATGACGTAGTAATCTCCCATTGTTGGCAACGATACTTACGTAGGGAAGGCGGAGCACTCCCGTGTATGAACTGACAGAGACACCGAACAGATGCTTGATTTGTGACGTGACAACGTGCATGGCGGCTCCCGTCGTGAACGCACGGATCAACGACTCGGACAGGTACGCCGTGATGAAACCAAACCGCAGGAAGCCCAGCGGAATCTGAGAGGTAACGAGCCGCGTCTCAGTTACAATTGCAAACACTAAACACAAAGATTAGTATGTTAATATCAGCACGAACATATACACATACATATACACACGTATACATGTATATACATGTACATATATGATCATGCTATGTATACTCATGCATGTTATTTTTTTATAGAACACATACGTTACACCACCATGTATACCTTCAGTCACATATCATATGTGACTGCAGGCATACGTGGTGGTAGGCTGCAAATATGATATGCAGTCTAGTGTTTTTGAACACATTAATTAAAATGTTTCACTGCTGCAGGACAACACAATTCCAATAATGAGCACCTGAGGCCTTAGAAACTCAATCTAGGCATATAATCAGACGTAAATATGTACGGATGCAAAATGGTTGTGGAACAAGTAGTTAGGTATATCCACAGTTCGCAGGTGGAGATTTGAAGCTTTTGTTATGCGTGTCAGAGTAAATGTTTGGTCTATCTGCTATCAGAGCAGCTGATCATTTAGATAATGTTGTTATCTCATTGACTGATTAATTACTCAGAGGTAGTTGTGTTACTCTTCGTGTATACAACATGATCTAATCATTATAATTGAGGCCCTCACATACCTGTAGTATTCCGATAAACAGGGCCATGCAGGTGGCAACTTGTATGCCGGTGATAACCACTGGGTCGGTTCCATTAATAATGCTGTCTGTCACATTGTCTGAGCTCATGTGACCCGGGAGAGTGCTAGCTCCTGATGGATCTGTGGCTAGTCTGTTCACGACATTAGCCACCATGAGGCTGATGACGGCGAACGTACCTATACAACACAGCAGATGCATGTGCTTGATGGCTGCATGCTTTCATCAATTATTTTGGTAAAACACTTGGAATTTCACACAAACTCTCCATGAACTTATATGTATATATATA